ATAACAGTTCAGCCATCAAACTTTCTAAAAATCCAGTTTTGCATGGGAGAAGCAAGCATATACATGTGAGGTATCATTTCTTGCGCAACTTGGTAGAAGATGGAACAATTGAGTTGATTTATTGCAGAACAGAAGATCAAGTGGCTGATACATTGACAAAACCCCTCAAAGTAGCAGTTTTTTCAAAACTGAGAGAGTTACTTGGTGTTTGCAACATGCAGAATTCAGTTTGAGGGAGGGTCTGCAGATTCCAGATCTGCAGATATGGTGTTATCCAGATTTCTTTAAACTAAAGTCTGAAGACTTTTAAGGGAGGGATTGTTGGAAATTAGATCCTATTATTTAGCCATTATCTCTATATTTTAGGAAGTTTAAGTTATTTATTTGTTTTAGGTTGTTATCATTTAAATTATATTAGATAAGATTGGTTAGTTATCTTTTTAGATAATATTATCTTGTAAAGCCTATTTAAAGGCTGGATTATTTTTCGTTAATGAGAGATTCAGTTTTTCATTCCATCTTCTTCTTTTCGGAATCCTTGATTTTTTAACAGGTAAGTATGCAGAGAAGAGAAAAAAGAAAGGAAAAAACTGAGATGCAGCTCATTTTGGTAGGCTTTTGCTTGGTTAATTTTGTGGTGTGGTTTATGAGGAAACACAATTGAGGTGTTTATATAGAGATGACGGGTTTGGGATTGCATCATAGTAAAATTTACTTTTGTTGATTTTTTAAAATAAATGGTTGCCCGATAATTTTTTATTGACTACCTATTCGTAGAAGATTGACATTTTTGAAATATGATCCCAGGGTACATTAATTACATGTCAATAGTTTCTGCAGAAAAAGACTTTTAACCCTTGGTTTACTCTCCTCTACTATATTTTGTTTGAAAGATTTTATTTTAGTGACGGTTTTGTTTTACAATATACTCCCTTCTGACATAACAACAATGGTTTTTTAATATAAAATTAATCTCAAATTAATAATTATTTTTTTATATTTCAAGAAAGATGAACAGTATTATTTTTATTGTTTTAATTATTTATCTTATCAAAATATAAGTTGTTCTTTATTTTTATCTCTTTCTTGAAAGTAATATAAATAAAAATAAAAGACATATAAAGTAAGGGAGTGATATAAAAACAATTTTTTTTATAATTTTTTATTATCATTTTATATAATTTTTATGTGTTATTAATTAAGTAAATGCATTCAATATTATAAGTTTTAAATTACTAAAAATATTAATTATTTAAATTATACATAAAATTATACTAAAAACTAATATAAAAAGATTATTTTAAAAC